TCTGGGCAATGTGTAATTCTTTCTTCAATAGCATTTCCTTAGACTTTAAAGTATATGACTATACAGAAAAGTGAAAAGTAAACCTAAGAAATTCACTTGATTAAAATGTGACAACTAGTTTCCACAGTATGAAAAAGAAGATTAAATTTATGTTTCTGAGTCGTGACTCAGACTTTGATATACAGGCTTAAACTTAAATTGAGTTGTATGGATAAATATATATTGTGCCTACATGTGATTTTTTTTTTATGACACTAACTTTTTATAGATGAGTTTGACTGGATAGTAAGGGAGAAGCACCACCTCATGAAACTGGTTGATTTGCCAATCACTAATTCTTACACATCCATTTGTGTTATTTCATATTTTTGCTTTAATAGTATTCTAAAATGTGGAAAATTGCTGATCAAATAAAATAGAAATCATGCTTTTACTTCTAGTATATAAGCATAACAGTTAATACAGCACTGAAGTATCCTAAATATAAGCCTTCATTTTTTTTATTCTTTGCAATCAGGTTTTTATACTGACCCCCCAAAAAAGGGGTGACAGATCCAAAAGAGCTTGTTGCCCCCCTGTCGAGTGATATAGTGTCCACGTAAGTCTTTGTGACTGCAAACACGGGGAACAATTTGCAGCTGACTGCAATCTCTAGCGCTGGCACAGGAAATCTATATTTAGCAGCAAGTAAGTAATAACAAAGCGCATCCAAATGGTCTACAGACGGTAATGATACGAGAGCAGGACAAGATGTTGGCTTTAATTACATTGGTAGCGGAGGCAAAGCCATGTCTGTTAGACGTGCTGTGTTTATGCTGTCTTTGTGAGTCACTGAAATGAAAATGCTGTGCCGCTGAGCGCTGTTGGTTTTATGGAGGTGGTTTATGCTGCCGCTTCATTTACTATCTTGCGCTCTCTTCTTTGCATATGAAGCTGCCAAAACTGTCAATGAGATGCAGCTTAAATGAGATGTCACAAGAATGGCTATGGAAATATGATAGCCCTCATTACTCAAAATTGTACTGAGCAAAATATCGGCTTATTTGTTGCACTAACAATGCAATCATAGTCATTGCAATCTACAGACTGTCAAGGTTACTAAACCATATGAGTAGGACCCAAAATGAATGTTATGCCTAACTCATGCGTCAGTGGATGTTAACTGAGGTGATTTACAATCCATAAATATTTTTACCGACCATGAAAATGTTTTAAAAAGCATTAAAGGAGTCATACCATTAGGAATTCAAAATTCCCTTATCTTTTGAGATAAAGAGTTGATTGTGCTATAAAAACGTACTGTAACTCAGAAGTTTTAGTTTTAGTATTTCCAATCCAATCATCTGATCATCTCATGTCACTTATGCCAGATAAAACAAAAACTAATGAGGGTCAAACTGTATTGCAGCTGGAAAAATATGCCTCTGTTTACATTTTTGCAAAACTCCAAACACGTATTTATAAGTACAATTCACTGCAGGTTCAGCTGAAATGACCACTAGTGGTAGTAAAGCACCAACAACTTTTATTCCTGTTCACACAAATTAATTACAGGGCAGATTATCAAATAACAAAGACTTATTTATTTTCACACGGTTCCTTGCAGATGTTTTGACTTTAAAACATTTACCATATTGCAGAATTTGTAACGTAATACATTTTGATGTTTTTGCATTACATAATCCGCTCTATCTGTATGGCTTTTCTTACTTTTGACTTCGTAAACTTGCTCGATAGCTCACCTGGTACAGCATTGCAGTCCTGTGAAACATGAGTCATGATAAAAAAAGCTCAAAGACTTGTAGAAGCAAGCTATAATGTCATGTTTGCTTCAGTAAATGAGCTTTTATCTAACATTTGCTTTTGCTAAAACTGTCAGTTAGGTTTAGTGTAGGTGGTACATTATTTTTAAACATGAGCATTAATCTTGTAGAGCCACTCACTAGACATTTCATTTCTAAAATGCTGCGATATGTACAAAAATGAACATAACGAAACATTGCTTTTAGCACAACCAAGGATATTTTTCTTTGAAAGTGTCGCAAAACGTACAAGAACCAATGTAACATCATTTTGCAGAAATGTCGCCACAGGCATGCTTCCCAAAGAGCCTGGGTTGGATTTATATGTTGCAATTCTTAAAAAATTTAACAGGCCAATAACCAATTATTCCGCTTTATTTAAAACTACAAAACCACTATTTATTTCTGTTTGATGCCCACATATGTTTGTTTTTACTGCCAGTCACTGTTTAAAGACATCAAACCCCAGTATAATGACATCCACTTATAAGTGCCACACGTTATAAATCCTCTTGCCTAAGCGGTGCCCATCTCCCCTGCTAAGCATGACATTTAAAGCATGATTGTACTCCAGAATTAATGAATATTTGATGAGATATCTTTCTGAAATTGTAGACTTAGGCAGTGGTATGCCATGCTCTCAAAACCCCATTGTAAATGCGTTCATAATGAAACAGATCTGTGTCTCAGACTGAATGTAAATCACTGGGGCAGTAAGTGTGATGACAGCCTCGATATACAGGCTGAATAAATACTAGTTTTTTTAGTGATTGTGGATATTTACGCATCAAGCCATACATAAGCCATTATATCTCTTGTGCATTAATGGATTTACGTCTAAATCTCTGTTATTGCTGGCACAGCGCGGCAATGGTTTTGGCAGGTTTAGCGGTGGAAGTTAAGTGCTTTTTCCCCTCACTTCTTAGACCTGAGTTCACTTGTACCTTTCACTCTCGCGGCTCTCCACACACCAGTATCTCTGCAGCTGGAAAAATATCCGATGTGACATCTCCTCCTGTTGCTCATGCATTTTTTATGGGTCCTCCTCTCCCACCCAGTCCTCTTGGAGGAAGCCCTGCACTCTGTAGCGTGCCACAGTCTATAGCACATTTCACTGTCGCTGTCAATTCGGTGTTTAAACTGCTTTACTTGTAAATACTGATATGTTGTTGTATGTGATGTCTGGGAGGGCTGTTTGCGAACACCTGCTGAATCATCATAGGTTTGTGCTTGCTCATTTTATGCATATCGGCCCATGTTGTGATGCATGATATCGATAGGTGCATCGATTTCACCGCTGCACAAGATTCACTGAGCAGAAGTATACGTACTTTTCTGAGAAACCGAGAATGGCTCGGGAGCCCCGACCCTGAAATAATTCCTGGTTGCTTGGACGTCAGCAGAATCGGGTGCTAAGAGAAGTTTCGCCACTTTGAGCACCGCCTTGTCATCCTGAAAGTATATAGAGTATATAGAGGACATTATTACATCTCTGTCCCCGCATCGGTCCTTCCTGCTGTGAAGGGGATAATGCTGGCCGATGTGCATTACATTCGTCATTCTAACAGTTCACCATTGATCATTTCTCAAGCCGAGACCTGAGCCAGAGTATTGATCTGGAGAACAGAAAAAAGGTCTCGTGAAATGAGCTCTGTTCCAGGTCTATGATTTTGGTTGTATGCAGTAAAAGTGTGAGCAAAGTCAGAAATTAACTTTTTGATTAACAGGAAATATTTGCCACCCCAGACTTGATATTAAGGTGCATTTCTCTATATTTTTCATATGAATATATTTAAATAAATATATCTAGATGTATATATTTAAAACCACTACAGTTCACAAGTTTTGAATTTTTATAGATTCTTTTAAAAAATGTTAGATTTTTTTTTTTCATATTAAGAAGTCTTAATTTTGTTGTTAAGTCTTTTATGCTAACCATGACTGCATTTTTTAACCAGAAATACAGTAAAACCAGTAATAGTGTCAAATATTATTACAGTAAAAAAAATTTTTTTAAATTTGAATATAGTTTAAAATAAAAAAAATTCCTTTGATGGCAAAACTGAATTTTTAGAAGCCATTAGTCTTCAGTGTCATCCTTCAGAAATCATTCTGATATTCTTATTTGGTGCGCAAGAAACATTTCTTAATTTTGTCAGTTATTATTGTGTTGCTTTTTAATATTTGTGTGGAAACCATTATTTGTTTTTTTCAGCATTCTTTGATGAATAGAAAATTGGGGAAAAAACAGCATTTATTTGAAATATTTATTTTAATAAAATGTATGTATTTATTTAAATCTTTAGCATTTCTTTAGCAAATCTTTTTAACATTTTTAATGCCACTTTTGATTAAATTAATAATAATAAAAGTCTTTATTTTTATTCATTCAAACAACAAATAAACAAGCAAAATTGTACCCCAAACTTTTGAACAGTAGTGAATGTATGTAATAGTATTTGATCAGTTCATTTAAAATGAAATCAATTTCAACTCATAGAGTATGTGATAATATGCATAACCAGACCTAGAAATGCATATTAAGAACTGTCAGATGCCATAAATCAATGATAATAATAATAATAATGATTAAAAAACGACAGGAATTTATGATGTTTTTTGGCCAACATTTTGAATTTGATTTAGAATTTTTTTGATACTAAGCTTGTTTTTTTCTTTGTTTCTGACCCTGATTATGAATTTCGGGAGCGAAGCGCCAAGCCTGAAAGTGGCACTGCATGATAATCATGCACATTGATCACTGTGTTAAAAGTTCCTATTCCTTCTCCTTCTCTATCCGCATCATTTCTGCCTGCTTAACATCATTGCACCTTTCCAAAGCCCATCCCGTGTAGCCTGTGCCTCTGCCAGTTCTGCAGTGGAGCATGCAGCGTTATTCTGCTAGGTTAAGTGCGGCACAATCTAATTACTCTAATGTCGGTTGCGGTCTTAAATCACACTTATTGGGTAAGTGCGCCCGTTTGTCTGTCCTTCAGAAGGGAAGCCGCTCTGCTCTGCTCTCGGACTAATTATTCCAACTGGATATGAGCAATTGCACTTATTGGCTAGGGCATGGCACCGGCTGCCTGTGCTCCCATTCGTTGCCAGTGAAGTCTGCGTGCGATTGGGTCCTGGGAAGGAGTGGGAGGTGCGTTCTCTCTTTCCTCCCTGTGCTGGAGCGCGTGTGGATGTGAGCACTCTTTTCTCTCCTATTATTTGAGTGGCTGCAGGTACTGGTGTCTGCCTCTTTGCCTCTGTGCTAGAGGGATAAAGAGGGAAAGACAGAGGACTAGTGCTTCATATCCCCCCTCTGGCCTCCCCGTCTCCCTGCTCCCTGTCACTCCATCCTTCCTTCCTCCCTCCCGGACCATCCGTCAGCGGCTGGATCAACCCGCCCGGACCCTCCTCCCACAACCCCTTTGACTATCCTCACTTCACCGTCCCGTCTTGTGAACTGAGTGCAGGTAAGCCAGCACCTAGATGTGACTTTGTTGTGCTTTTTTCCCCGCTTCTCTACACTCTTTTCTCATTGCATGTCATTTTTTCTCTGTTTCTCACACACACGCTCTTTCTCACGCACCCTCCCTCACTCTCTTTAGCTTTCAAGTTTTCCCCTCTGGCAGTTCTTCTCAGAGGGAAGCGTGCAAAGAGAGACGTGGGATTAGAATCTGTGAGGTCACTGTTTTCGAGCCCAAATTCAGTACTTTCCACTTCCTCTATCTAAGACTTTTTCTGAAGCGGTGTAATGCCCACTGGCTATGGATACGCTGGAAAACCGTTGCTCCGCGCCACGAACCGAGTGTGTACTTTAGCTTCACACGCTTCCTCTGTGTTGTCCTTGACCCCTGCAGCAGTTTATTTTCTGTGTGTTAGAGTTGTTTAATGCTGAGGTGTTTAGAGGAAACTTACAGATGGTTTTCAGTTCTAGGATTACCCATGTCATGATGTAACTACAGGACTGACATATTCAAATAAGGTATTCATTGTTAATTCAGACATTTAATATGGTCAGGAACATACTTTGTGCACAATGCAAGTGCTTGTATTTTTTTAATTATTTTTTTTTAGAAAAAAGTATTTTAGCATATTTTTTTGTATTTTTGAAAGGTATTTACAACAGGACTACAAATCTATAAAAGCGTAACCATTTTACATTTGTGGCTCTGTTGTAAATACTTTTTAAACTTTTAAAAATACCAAAAAATGTTAAAAATTAAATTTTTTTTCCTACCAGTCATCCATTTGTAATCTGATTTTTCCGAAAAAGTGTAAACATAGCCCTTTTAACATTGCTCAGCCCAACATTTGTTCAGTTTTTGGCAGCACGATCTGCTTATCTGACCAATAGTTTGAGGAAGCATTTATTAACATTCAGTGTTTGTTGAAATTAGTGGGACAGAAATGAGGCGTCCAAGTCCTCCTGGGAAGTTTGTATTTATGAGTTGGGAAGTTGTAATTACGATGTCAGGCACATTCAAATCACATTGATCGGAACAAGATGGCGACGTACCTTTTCTACAAAAAATACAGCATTGTTTTTTAACTCTACTTTTACAAAATGAAGAATGCATATCGGGTGTTTTTACTTCATTGAATATATGAAGGTGTTGTAAATGGAATTGTTATAAACAATAAATAAATATTCGTAATTGTACAAAACTGATATTTTGTACATGAAACTTTATACACTTTAACAAATTTACCATCAACTACAGATGTTGAATTCATAGTCTGCTATTTTTCTCACTTTCACACCCCCAACTCAGAAACTCTGGGCTCAAAGAAAAATCGAGAGTTTCCCACTTGCAATTACAATTTTGTGCTGCCATTCACATGCTATCAACTCCTTAATACAGTCTATCCGACGTGACTGGAATGTGCCATTGCACTTTTTCATTTAACATATATTTGCACAAATCTGTAAACCTTAGTATCCAAAAAGGGAGCTATTAAAAGCATAATTCTCATCAAATGAATATTCCGTCATCATTTACTCAACTTCACGTAATTTCAAACCTGTATGACGTACTTTCTACTGTAGAACTTGAAAGAAGATATTTTGAGAAATGTCTCAGTGTGTTTTTTTTTGTGTCCATACAATGGAAGTCAGTGGTAACCAAAACTGTTTGGTTACCTATATTCTTCAAAGCATTTTCTTTTGTCCTTCACAAAAGAACATAAACAGGTCTTAAACGTCATGATGGTAATTAAATGACAGAATTTTAATTTTTGGGTGATATATCCCTTTAAACCATATTTTGAATCCTTGTCTTATCAGAATAGAGAGAATACAAAGAGTTGTTAATATGTTTATAAGGTTCTCTTATTAGAAACTATTGCTCCATCAAGACAGTTGTTGACCTGAAGGAGAAAACTGACCGTAGAAGTTTGGACTTGCATTCCAGGAAGCACTGATGCGTGAAATCGAGTAGCTAGAAGCATTAGCGTTAATATACTTGCATATATTTCAGGTCTAAATCTACAGAGCACAGCAGACAAAAAACTGCTTAGGTCTTCATCCAGTTCAGTGCTTTGATGTGAGTGGGTGCTACGTGAGATTGAAGTGGTGCAAACATAAATACCGGCCCATGGTTTGACCGATCTCAAACTTGTCTTCTGCACTTTAGCAGTAAAGACGTTTCCAATCAATCTGATTAACGGCATTGCATCCCCAATGCTTGCTCTTTTTACAAGCACATTATACCTGAACATATTCTCTTTATTAATCAGTTTTTAAATGTAGAGCAGAATTTTCTGGGGTTATTGAAAGCAACGGTTAGGTGAGTGAATTCAGAGAAGAACAGGTGTCTCCAGTATCAAAAGGCCTCTGCCATTCCCTGGGCTTCCTCTCCATTCCCAACGTGCCAGGAAACTATGGGAGCCTGGATGTCACCTCGGACTGAGATTCAAACATGAATGTACATGTAAATGATTTCATTTCGACGTTACTTCAGTGCTTTCTGCAAGTAGGATGTGGAAAGAATCCAGCTCGTCTTTAGCTTCGGCCAGAAGAAGAACTGTATTAAATTTGGCTATAACTGATGCTCTGTGCTGACAGAGAGTTTGTGTTTTTTTTTCTCCCACCCATCCTCCATTCGGTCTGATTGGTACGCAGGTCTCCTCCGCATGGCCGTATAGTAAGTTAAAAACGTCATGGCTGTGTCATAACTCATAAGCGAATGTAAAGTGTTGCCGAGGGCTGAAATTGAATGGTGCACCTTTTCAAAGTTAAGGCCCGGAAAGAATTATGGCCTGTGAAATCCTGGGCCCTTTGTCTCTCCGCAAAGCCACTCTGCAGTGTAATTTAACCTGCCGATGGGCCGTGAGATCAATCAGGACCCAGGAAGCTGAGGGGGGTTGGGGAAGGAGTTGAACCAGCCCTGGACCCCCCGCTGCTGTCGTTCTTAATGCTTGACTGGATGGCGTGGCTATTTTTATTGTTTCCTGTGATGTAGTGGATCGGAGATGTTCTGGAAAAGGTTAGGGAAACATTGCAGGCTTGTCTGAATTTGTAGATCCGTGGGTCGTGTAAGCTTCTGATGCGGCTGGCTGTTTGATTAAGTCAGGTCATCCTGTTGTTAATCTGTCAGTGATCCAATTTAATCAGTCATGGCGTCCAAGCTATACATTGAATGCACATTTCTGTATGGCAGAGATAGAAATTCTAGTCTTGAGACTTGGACTCAAGTTGTGCTTGAGTTGTAAAATAATTGGCTTGAGATTCCACTTAGACTCAGGCAATCAACTTGATACTTGAACTGGATTCCAAATACAAAATCCAGGGCTCAACAACAAGTATTTATTTTTCCTGTTGACCTACTACAGAGGAATGAGCTTTTTTCTTAGATGTTTTCAGAATTTTTTTTTAATGTTAAGCTTATTTTTATTGTTTCCAGTGATATAGTGGATATGTTCTGGAAAAGTTTAAGGAAACATTGCTTTTCCGAATTCACAGATCTGTGGGTCTACTGACTTGAGGTTTAAACCGAATTCCAAATACAAAATTCAGATCTCAACCATTTTTAGCAATCTATTTTTATATTTGCTAGAATTTATTTTTCCTCAATTGTTATTATTATTATTAAATAATAATATATTTTTTATAAATATTAATTATTATTGGTAAAGTAATGAACAAAGGAACATTATTTTATTAAATATAATACATTTAATTATTTGTAATTACATTTAATTTAATAAAAACATAATATTTGATAAATTTTTAATCCTATTATTATAACCTTTGTGGTTAAATAATTATAAGAACAAATGAAAAAAAAAAAAAACTAAATTAATGTTATTATTATAGCAGGCCATCCTTCCACTCTAAAATGTATTAAATTGATTATTCTTCAACAAAGTTGATAAAACTAAACTGTAGTTTAGAGAAGACTCTTCTTAACAGTTCTTGAGAGACCTGAAACTCAAACTGACTTGAGACTTGGTTTTTATTTCAAATTGAACAACATGTTTTTCAACTAGGTTTATTAAACCAACCTGCACAGCTGTTACCAATGGGATTTAAGACTTTACTTGGACTCTGAATTAGAAACGTGTGAATATGCAAAATTGCTTGCCCTTCAAAAAGGTTTATGAAACCAACCTGTAGTAGAAAACTGTTCTGAAAGGATATTCGAGACTCGACTTGCACTTCACCTCAAAGACTTGAAACTTGACTTGGACTTTACGTCAGAGACTTGAGAAGATGTCTGCCGTATGGTGCCTGTGCATTGCAAGGAATATAATGTGTCAGGATAAGTCTTAAAGAGACTTTGAAGCCTGTCTTATAGTGCTGTCTTGGCAGCGTGGCTGGATCTCAGCGTTTTTGTTTGATTAAAAGCGCACAGGAGTTTGTAGCACACGGTAGGTGCAAGAGAAGGGCTTACAGCTTAACCACTGATTATTCAAGCCTCTTAGGCTAAGCCATGGCACTCCAGTGATGAACGCCTTCTCCACTTCACATTCCCGCTCCCTCGCCTTTTTTTTTTTTTACGTTGCTTTCTTGCTCCCTCCCTCTCTCTCTCTCTCTCTCTCTTCCTCTCTTCCTTTCTCATTGAGCAGTGGGATCAGTAGCAGAGTGATTCATGCAGTGCCGAGGCTTTATTTAGACATAATCCACTGAGTGTCACTATGGCACGAGGCTTTGGTCAGGTTCTCCTACCATGCTCCTGCCTGCCTTCGTATCCAACCCCCAACAAGATGGGAGTGTGTCAGCGGGTCACATGGTGTGACGCGAGGAGACACCCAACCATGAATGATGCAGCATTTTCTCAGCGGCCTCGCCCCTGTTATTGGATGGAGAGAGATCGGCGGCGGCGTTGTGAGGAGGAGAGAGAGGAAGACCGCTTCCGTGCAAATGCGTTCTAATAAAATCTAGAGCCTCTGGCGCTTTTAGTAAAAGCTCTGCCTCATGTTCGGTGTCTGTTGATGCCCTCCCACCTGCTCCCTGGAAAGGCCTCCGTTC